AGGGAAAGACATAGGCGCATTCCACCTGCATTGTATCAAGAGGTTAAGGACCATCTGAAGAACATGTTGGATGCTAAGGTTATTCGTCCTTCTTCTAGTCCTTATGCCTCTCCCGTGGTTCTTGTTCGCAAAAGGGACTCGTCTTTACGTTTCTGTATAGACTATCGCCAACTTAATAGTCGTACAGTTAGAGACTCTTATGCTTTACCACGGATTGAGGAGACCCTTGATGCACTTCATGGTGCCAAGTACTTCACTTGTCTTGACCTGAAGTCGGGCTATTGGCAGGTCGAAGTTGCTGAGGAACATAAAGCCCGTACTGCTTTTACGGTTGGTCCATTAGGATTTTACGAGTGTAACTCGATGCCTTTTGGTCTCACAAATGCTCCCGCAACTTTTCAACGTCTTATGGAGAGATGTATGGGCGACATCCATCTCCTACAGTGTCTCATTTACCTTGATGACATCATTGTGTTTTCAAAGACCTTTGATGAGCATCTGGAGAGATTACGTGCAATCTTTCTTCGATTGCGCAAGAATGGCCTCAAACTTAAGCCTTCTAAGTGCCAGTTCTTGCAGACCTCTGTGAAATATCTGGGTCACGTAATCTCTGAGGAGGGTATCACGACAGACCCTGAGAAGATTGCGGCACTGGAGACCTGGCCAGTTCCACAGAATGTGGATGATGTTCGTCGTTTTCTTGGCTTCTCTGGATATTATCGTCGCTTTGTGCCTAATTATGCCAAAGTTGCAAAGCCCTTGACAAATTTACTTGTTGGTCAATCCGGCAAGAAAAGGAAAAATAGCAAACCCGACCAGAACTGGATATGGGGGGAGGAGCAGCAGTCGGCTTTCAGTGAGCTTGTTGGTAAACTTATCAGCGCTCCCATTTTGGCTTTCGCAGACTTCACTCAGCCATTCGAACTGCACATTGATGCAAGTGGCGATGGCTTAGGCGCGGTACTTTACCAAACCCAAAATAGCCAGAAACGAGTGATAGCCTATGCGAGCCGAGGGCTTTCCAAATCAGAGCGCAACTACCCAGCTCACAAATTAGAGTTTCTAGCTCTGAAATGGGCTGTCACCAGGAAGTTCCATGACTACCTGTATGGCAACCCATTCACCGTTAAGACCGACAACAACCCCCTCACTTACGTTTTAACATCAGCGAAATTGGATGCAACTGGACATCGTTGGCTCGCTGACCTTGCTGCTTACGACTTTTCTGTAGAGTATGTACCAGGGGCAAGGAACAAGGATGCTGATGCGTTGTCCAGGTTGCCACGTGAGGTCATGGATATCCAATCTGTGTCTGCGGTTTGCAACAGTCAGCAGACGTCTAGTGTTGTAGAGACGCTCTCACTTTGTCATGAGGTATTGAACTGTGTTTTAGCAGTTGATGATTTCGAGTCTACCAATGTTGGGACTGATCATCAGATGCTATCTTGTCAGCAGGCGGACCCCTCAATCTGCACGATTGTGGACCTTCTCCGTAAAGATCAGCGCCCTTCAAAGGAGTCTCTTAGGTCATTTGATCGTGACACAGCTTCAATCCTCAGGCAGTGGGATGCTCTCTCCATCAATAACAATCTCCTTTATAGGAGACAGAAGACTACAGAAGGTGATTATCCCTACTTTCAACTCATTGTCCCAGAGCCTCAACGAGAATCCGTCATTACTCATCTTCATGACGGGATGGGGCATCTGGGTAGGGACAGGACTGTGGCTCTCCTACGGACGAGGTTTTATTGGCCAGGAATGATGGGAGATGTCGAGAACCACATTCGTAGCTGCCAGAGGTGCATTCTTCGGAAAGCTCCTAATCAGACTGAGCGCGCACCATTGGTCAACATTCAGACCACTCAACCCATGGAAATGGTGTGTGTTGACTATCTCAGTCTGGAACCTTCATCTGGTGGTTACGAAAATGTTCTGGTCATTACTGACCACTTCACCAAGTATGCTGTTGCGATTCCAACTCGTAATCAAACAGCGCGAACAACAGCAAAGGCCTTGTTTGAGCACTTTATCGTACACTATGGCCTCCCTGAAAGGTTACATTCAGATCAGGGACGGAATTTCGAAAGTGATGTTATCAAACAAATGTGCAGCATACTTGGGATACAGAAAACAAGGACAACTCCCTATCACCCCATGGGGAACGGGTTATGTGAACGGTTTAACCGGACACTTCTTGGGATGCTCGGGACTCTGCAGGATCAGGAAAAGGCACGTTGGAAGGACCATATTGCTCATGTGGTCCATGCCTATAACTGTACCTTGCACGAGTCTTCTGGGTTCACGCCCTACTTTCTCATGTTCGGCAGACATCCTAGACTGCCTGTTGATGTTGCCTTTGGCACGTCTCTCGCCAACACTTCATCGCCATCTTATACGCAGTTTGCTGCTGATTTGAAGCGCAAGTTGACAACTGCGTATGAGCTCGCTACTCAAAACATGGACAAGGCCCGGGCCAAACAGAGGAAGACTTATAATCTGAAGGCTCGTGGTGCTACTGTTAAGGTAGGTGATGTTGTGTTGGTCCGCAATGTCAACATTCGTGGGAAACAGAAGCTTGCCGACCGATGGGAGAAAGATTTCTATGTGGTGGAATCACAGCCGAATTCTAATGTTCCTGTGTTTAAAGTCCGCAAGGAAGGCACTAGGGAGCATCGTGTACTTCACCGCAATTTACTCCTTCCCATTGGTTCGGATGGCCGTCCCATTCCTAAACCTCGGAGCCCTCCGCCTTCTCTAGGAGCTTCCGCTGTACCTGGTGATACCTCCAACACCGCTTTGGAGATTTCTACAACCGACCTGGATGTGGAAATTCCTTTATCTCCAGTGCCTGGGGGTTCTCCATTGGGTCAGCCGGTTGAAACTCCTTCGTTTCCAAGGTCACCACCAGCTCAATTATCTGGTGTTCCCTCTTCAACGACGCCATCTATGGTGTTGCCGTCACTCGAGTTGCCTGGAGGAATTTCGACTTCCCCAGTGCCTTCCAGCCCTTCCACTTCTGTTGTTCCAGAATTATCTTCTGTCACCCCACCAGTGGTTACAAGACCTGGCAGGTCACGCCAGAAACCAAAGTGGATGACTGACGGTCAATGGGTGGTGAAACAGAACATGGTTTGGGTATAGTTCTCTACTTAGTCCATTGTATATATGTTTGAGCACCTGTTATTGCTTTCTCAGGTTTAATTTTCTGCAACCTTTTGTTATCCTGCTCCTTTCCTTGGCTGTTCGTCTGTTTTCAGCTGCGTATGGTGAGGGCACCATTCCCAAAAGGGGGGTGCGTGTAGCAGGGTACCTTATATTCTTCCTATAGTTATATCATTATTCATACATCATCATCATAATCATCTATATGTTCAATGTTTGTCTTGTCTACAGTTGAATATCAGTATCTAACTCTTTAAACAACTCAACACCCTTATTTTCAGTCTCTGGGAATCTCTCACCAGATCTTCCCCTTCAACCTTCTGTCTATCTTTAGACATTTTTTACACCTGTAGGGTTTCCCTCAGTCTATTTATATCTTGCATTAAGCACTTCCTTTGATGCTTAATGCAATCTGTCTTCTAATTGGCCACCCTGGTCCTCTACAGGTAGCTTCCTTCCATACCTGACTTCCTCCTCACTTCATGTGCTGCTGTTGAGGAGGAAGGACATTTTCTTTTCTTCAGGTATGGAATGGCCATATTTCAATCTGTTTTCATCTGCTTCTGTCAGAAATTAATATCTATATTAGGGTGCTGAATTAAATTGAATAATATATATATAATATCATTTAAAGTAATATTAAATTAGTAAATGGAATATTGATATTATAAAACTTGCTTGTAAAATAATTAACCACATGGTCCATTTTGGACCATGTGCTTTCCAAGTATCCTATAATGAACATATAACAGTAATTTAACATTAAAGTTAGTTTTAGTATAGTTTATCAATGGCTTTTGTACTTTTATATTTAAGATAAATAATACCTGTAAACTTGCAAATATATGACTTCATGTGCTGCTGTTGAGGAGGAAGGACATTTTCTTTTCTTCAGGTAGTTCTTCAACAGCAGCCACCCCCTTTGCAATAAATCCATTATCACCATCTGCCTGTGTCTGTGTTTCCCAACGGCCCGAGCCGGATAAATACCACTACCCCGGCTACATAACAATGCTATCTCACCTGGCTACAGTGTGTAACAGTGCTATCTCACCTGGCTACAGTGTGTAACAGTGCTATCTCAACTGGCTACAGTGTGTAACAATGCTATCTCACCTGGCTACAGTGTGTAACAGTGCTATCTCAACTGGCTACAGTGTGTAAAAGTGCTATCTCACCTGGCTACAGTGCATGTGTAACAATCTGTAACATCTCACCTGGCTCCACAGCCTCGGCCAGACTCGGCATGGAAGAACTCGTAGAAAAGCAGCAGGTGCCTCCAGCCTGGCTGTGTGTAGTAGTCGGTGTAGCTGGCTGTGGACAGACAGTGAGGAGGCAGTCAGTATCTCCCCACACTTCCTGTTAGACCATTTAGTTTGCTGAATGTGAGGGGTGGGGCCTAGGGCATTTGTATTTTAATTGGATACAGGGATAATGTTTTACTCACTGCTTCAAAATATACCATTTTTTGGAAAAGTTTAGTTTTTGGAGAGCACAATTTTTTTCAGGTTATCCACGTTGACCTTCTTCTCTCCAGGCGGACACTCCACCACTAGACCATGGAGGCAGTCTCTTTTTTGTGTAAAACCTGATAAAAAGATATTTTTTCCAGTGTTTTGTGGAACATTTTATGATTCATAAAAAATCTAGTCCCAGTCATCCCCCTGAAAATGAAATGGTTGGTCCTTAAAATGTATGTGTAGCCAGGCCCAATAGAAATGCTCACTCAACAAGCACAGTAGCATACTGTGTGTAAGGTTGCTACAATGTTTCACCACCCACCATGAACAGGCCTCACACCATCAGCGTCAGGGAGGAACAGAGCTACTACACGTTCAGCAACATCCACAGCAACGTCCGCGAGTGATGCCATGTGTCCGGAGCCGGTGGGGTGCTCTAGCCTGAAGGTGTTGCCGTACACCTCACTGGCTGTGTCAAGACTGTCCACCATCAGATAGTTCACTGGTAAACAAACACTAGATGCTTACACATATATATTTACACAACAGTATTGTGGTGTCGACCTCCGGGAACAATTTTAATGTTACCCCCTGCCTCCTCTTTCCCATTGCCTATTAACAATCAGTGATAATTTAAGTCCTGGAACTTAAATTGGTCCATAGCTAATCACCTTTCAGTGCTGATTAACTGTTGGCTTCCCTTGTTGTTTCCTCCTTTGTTATCATATTACTTTTGTTGTTCTTACATGTACATATATATGTTCACTCTCTGCCTCATAGCCTTAACCCATGCTTGCTAAAAAGGCGACTATGCTTTGTCGTAAGAGATGACTAACGGGATAGGGTGGTGAGGCTCGCTGACTTAGCTGATGCATGTCATCGTATCTCAATTGTGTGGATTGATGTCAATCACTGGATTGTCTGGTCCAGACTCGATTATTTACCTACCGCCGTCATATAGCTGGAAAATTGCTGAGTGTGGCGTTAAACGACACAAAACATCAGCTTGGGGTTGACATCCATAAATTCTCTTCCTTATATGTATCACTTCTAAATGTCATTCAAAGACTTAATTTTAATGTTGTAAAGATAGTAATGAATCACCACATGAAACATGTTTCTGTAACATGATATATAGAGGCCACTTCAAATCATGTTAAGATACGCATATCATATGTTGTGTTGTGACAGCATCGTATCATTTTACACTGAACAAAAGAAGTTAGGGTCATGAATATTTTGGGGATATTTTCATAAAATTGTGTGCTGAGTCATCACAACCAAAAAATCCAACATGTTCATGATCCCTAAGTTCTTCTGCAGAGTATAGGATGCTGTAATGCTTCATCACTACACTAGCCTCCCTGGTGAAGACTCCCCTGGTGTATATCAGACTGTAACAACCATCACCACTCACTGCACAGCCAGACAGGACCACTCCAGTTGCTGTTCCCACCAAACATGCGCAAGTCTGACTCCCCTGGTGTATATCTGACTGTAACAACCATCACCACTCACTGCACAGCCAGACAGGACCCCTCCAGTTGCTGTTCCCACAAACATGCGCAAGTCCGACTCCCCTGGTGTATATCTGACTGTAACAACCATCACCACTCACTGCACAGCCAGACAGGACCCCTCCAGTTGCTGTTCCCACAAACATGCGCAAGTCCGACTCCCCTGGTGTATATCTGACTGTAACAACCATCACCACTCACTGCACAGCCAGACAGGACCCCTCCAGTTGCTGTTTCCACCAAACATGCGCAAGTCCGACTCCCCTGGTGTATATCTGACTGTAACAACCATCACCACTCACTGCACAGCCAGACAGGACCCCTCCAGTTGCTGTTCCCACCAAACATGCGCAAGTCCGACTCCCCTGGTGTATATCTGACTGTAACAACCATCACCACTCACTGCACAGCCAGACAGGACCACTCCAGTTGCTGTTCCCACCAAACATGCGCAAGTCCGACTCCCCTGGTGTATATCTGACTGTAACAACCATCACCACTCACTGCACAGCCAGACAGGACCACTCCAGTTGCTGTTCCCACCAAACATGTGCAAGTCCGACTCCCCTGGTGTATATCTGACTGTAACAACCATCACCACTCACTGCACAGCCAGACAGGACCCCTCCAGTTGCTGTTCCCACCAAACATGTGCAAGTCTGACTCCCCTGGTGTATATCTGACTGTAACAACCATCACCACTCACTGCACAGCCAGACAGGACCCCTCCAGTTGCTGTTCCCACCAAACATGCGCAAGTCCGACTCCCCTGGTGTATATCTGACTGTAACAACCATCACCACTCACTGCACAGCCAGACAGGACCCCTCCAGTTGCTGTTCCCACCAAACATGCGCAAGTCCGACTCCCCTGGTGTATATCTGACTGTAACAACCATCACCACTCACTGCACAGCCAGACAGGACCCCTCCAGTTGCTGTTCCCACCAAACATGTGCAAGTCTGACTCCCCTGGTGTATATCTGACTGTAACAACCATCACCACTCACTGCACAGCCAGACAGGACCCCTCCAGTTGCTGTTCCCACCAAACATGCGCAAGTCTGACTCCCCTGGTGTATATCTGACTGTAACAACCATCACCACTCACTGCACAGCCAGACAGGACCCCTCCAGTTGCTGTTCCCACCAAACATGCGCAAGTCTGACTCCCCTGGTGTATATCTGACTGTAACAACCATCACCACTCACTGCACAGCCAGACCGGACCACTCCAGTTGCTGTTCCCACCAAACATGCGCAAGTCCGACTCCCCTGGTGTATATCTGACTGTAACAACCATCACCACTCACTGCACAGCCAGACAGGACCCCTCCAGTTGCTGTTCCCACCAAACATGCGCAAGTCCGACTCCCCTGGTGTATATCTGACTGTAACAACCATCACCACTCACTGCACAGCCAGACAGGACCCCTCCAGTTGCTGTTTCCACCAAACATGCGTGAGTCCGACTCCCCTGGTGTATATCGGACACTGTAGATGTCAGGCTCCAGCACAAGGCTGTAGGGCTCTCTGTCATACATCTGTCCACAAACAAAGGATCAGTCACTTCACCATCATGTAATGTTTACATGGCTGACAGGGGGAACGTGGATGATAGGGGAAACGTGGATGATAGCGGGAACGTGGATGATAGGGGGGAACGTGGATGACAGGGGGAACGTGGATGATAGGGGGAACGTGGATGATAGGGGGAACATGGATGATAGGGGGAACATGGATGATAGGGGGAACGTGGATGATAGGGAACATGGATGATAGGGGGAACGTGGATGACAGGAGGGAACGTGGATGACAGGGGGAACGTGGATGATAGGGAGAACGTGGATGATAGGGGGAACGTGGATGATAGGGGGAACGTGGATGATAGGGGGAACGTGGATGACAGGAGGGAACGTGGATGACAGGGGGAACGTGGATGATAGGGAGAACGTGGATGATAGGGGGAACGTGGATGATAGGGGGAACGTGGATGACAGGGGGGAACGTGGATGATAGGGGGAACATGGATGATAGGGGGGAACATGGATGATAGGGGGAACGTGGATGATAGGGGGAACATGGATGATAGGGGGAACGTGGATGACAGGAGGGAACGTGGATGACAGGGGGAAAGTGGCTGATAGGGGGAACATCATTTGACATCAAATATATCAACACCTCAAATGTTGCTAAAAGTTGAAACTGCCCGGCAAGCCTCAGAGTTTTACATTTGTATTGACTCCTGTTGATATGTTTGATCTAAAAATGACTAGACACTCAGGTTAGATTCTCGATCCATGTGTACAACTGAGGTTTTGAAGGGGAGATTTATTATAACATACCTTTGCTAACGAGCGGACACCAAACGGAGAGAGAAACATGTGAGGATCACAGACAGCTTGTAGGATGTGCAGGAGCCGAGACTTGGGGACGAGGGACAGGTAGTACCTGTTGTCCTTCATCTTGTGTACCTGCAACAGACATGTACATAACCGGATGGGTTGCCTACAAGTTGGATCAGGCAGGCAAATGGGTAATACTAAAAATATGGAATATTAAAATGAATATGCTTTCTGGGAAATTTTATATCAAGCGTCCAAACACTCCGAATGTGGACGGAAGATTTGTGTGCCAAATGGAAATCTCGAAGAAGAAAAAGCTCACCTTTCTTTCATGTTTTGTTAAAAACAATTATTCCATATGGAAATATATGGTAAGGATGCTTTACCCCTTCCTATGTGTATATATTTCATTATCCTCCCTTTTTGTTTGTTTGTTTGTTTGTTTGTTTGTTTGTTTGTTTGTTGTTTAACGCCATACTCAGCAATATTCCAGCTATATGACGTCGGTCTGTAAAATAATCAAGACAATCCAGTGATTGACATCATGAGCATCGATCCATGCATTTGAGATGGAAGTACTAGTTTGGTTATCTCACATGCTCCTTTTCCTTGCTGCTACATGTCTCCAGCCTCTCTGTGACAGCTGCAGCACCGGCAGGGACGTCAATGACTGCAGCAGCAAACAGCGGTACCAGGCCCACTAATGACTTCAGCCGTACAGGGATCGGCTCTGCCCCGCGGTGCAGAACATCGTAGTAGAATCTGTCTCCTGGATGCCATAGGCCTGGAATAATATGTGGTCATTGGGTGGAAGTCAAGGTACTGTAAATCAGGAAATTAATGTGTCACCAAATTAATTCCAGGATAATAAATGGTATGGGATGAGAGCAGGTTGCTGTACTGGCCATTCACTTCGTGTGTGAGCAGAGTTTTCAGTCTGAGTGCGGTATCCATGTTAAACTGTGGTATTGTATCTTGGTGAGCTTGCACTATAAACTGGCGTTAGTCCGCTTAGCACAAGCAGCTACACTTATCAGAGTCATCTAGTCATATACTTATCTAGTTATCTCAGAGTCATCCAGTCATATACTTATCTAGTTACCTCAGAGTCATCTAGTCATATACTCATCTAGTTATCTAAGTCATCTAGTCATATACTCATCTAGTCATCTAAGAGTCATTTAGTCATATACTTATCTAGTTACCTCAGTCATCTAGTCATATACTCATCTAGTTATCTCCGAGTCAACCAGTCATATACTCATCTAGTCATATCAGAGTCATCTAGTCATATACTCATCTATTTATCTCAGTCATATATTCATCTAGTTATCTCAGTCATCTAGTCATATACTCATCTAGTTATCTAAGAGTCATCTAGTCATATACTCATCTAGTTATCTCCGAGTCAACCAGTCATATACTTATCTAGTCATATCGGCGTCATCTAGTCATATACTCATCTTGTTATCTCACAGTCATCCAGTAATATACTCATCTAGTCATATCAGTCATCTAGTCATATACCCATCTAGTCATATACTCATCTAGTTACCTCAGAGTCATCCAGTCATGTACTTATCTAGTTATCTCACAGTCATCCAGGCATATACTCATCTAGTCCCATCAGAGTCATCTAGTCATATACTTATCTAGTCCTATCAGAGTCATCTAGTCATATACTTATCTAGTCCCATCAGAGTCATCCAGGCATATACTCATCTAGTCCCATCAGAGTCATCTAGTCATATACTTATCTAGTCCTATCAGAGTCATCTAGTCATATACTTATCTAGTCCTATCAGAGTCATCCAGGCATATACTCATCTAGTCCCATCAGAGTCATCTAGTCATATACTTATCTAGTCCTATCAGAGTCATCTAGTCATATACTTATCTAGTCCTATCAGAGTCATCTAGTCATATACTTATCTAGTCCTATCAGAGTCATCTAGTCATATACTTATCTAGTCCTATCAGAGTCATCCAGTCATATACTTATCTAGTCCTATCAGAGTCATCTAGTCATATACTTATCTAGTTATCTCAGTCATCCAGTCATATACTTATCTAGTCCTATCAGAGTCATCTAGTCATATACTCATCTATTTATCTCAGTCATATATTCATCTAGTTATCTCAGTCATCTAGTCATATACTCATCTAGTTATCTAAGAGTCATCCAGTCATATACTCATCTAGTTATCTCCGAGTCAACCAGTCATATACTTATCTAGTCATATCGGCGTCATCTAGTCATATACTCATCTTTTTATCTCACAGTCATCCAGTAATATACTCATCTAGTCATATCAGAGTCATCTAGTCATATACCCATCTAGTCATATACTCATCTAGTTACCTCAGAGTCATCCAGTCATGTACTTATCTAGTTATCTCACAGTCATCCAGGCATATACTTATCTAGTCCTATCAGAGTCATCTAGTCATATACTTATCTAGTTATCTCAGTCATCTAGTCATATACTCATCTAGTCCTATCAGAGTCATCTAGTCATATACTTATCTAGTCCTATCAGAGTCATCTAGTCATATACTTATCTAGTTATCTCAGTCATCCAGTCATATACTTATCTAGTCCTATCAGTCATCTAGTCATATACTTATCTAGTCCTATCAGAGTCATCTAGTCATATGCTTATCTAGTTATCTCAGTCATCTAGTCATATACTTATCTAGTTATCTCAGTCATCCAGTCATATACTTATCTAGTTATCTCAGTCATCCAGTCATATACTTATCTAGTCCTATCAGAGTCATCCAGTCATATACTTATCTAGTCCTATCAGAGTCATCTAGTCATATACTTATCTAGTCCTATCAGTCATCTAGTCATATACTTATCTAGTTATCTCAGTCATCCAGTCATATAATTATCTAGTTATCTCAGTCATCCAGTCATATACTTATCTAGTTATCTCAGTCATCCAGTCATATACTTATCTAGTCCTATCAGAGTCATCTAGTCATATACTTATCTAGTCCTATCAGAGTCATCTAGTCATATACTTATCTAGTCCTATCAGAGTCATCTAGTCATATACTTATCTAGTTATCTCAGTCATCCAGTCATATACTTATCTAGTCCTATCAGAGTCATCCAGTCATATACGTATCTAGTCCTATCAGAGTCATCTAGTCATATACTTATCTAGTCCTATCAGAGTCATCTAGTCATATACTTATCTAGTCCTATCAGAGTCATCTAGTCATATACTTATCTAGTCCTATCAGAGTCATCCAGTCATATACTTATCTAGTCCTATCAGAGTCATCTAGTCATATACTTATCTAGTTATCTCAGTCATCCAGTCATATACTTATCTAGTTATCTCAGTCATCCAGTCATATACTTATCTAGTTATCTCAGTCATCCAGTCATATACTTATCTAGTCCTATCAGAGTCATCTAGTCATATACTTATCTAGTCCTATCAGAGACATCCAGTCATATACTTATCTAGTTATCTCAGTCATCCAGTCATATACTTATCTAGTTATCTCAGTCATCCAGTCATATACTTATCTAGTCCTATCAGAGTCATCTAGTCATATACTTATCTAGTCCTATCAGAGTCATCTAGTCATATACTTATCTAGTCCTATCAGAGTCATCTAGTCATATACTTATCTAGTCCTATCAGAGTCATCTAGTCATATACTTATCTAGTCCTATCAGAGTCATCTAGTCATATACTTATCTAGTCCTATCAGAGTCATCTAGTCATATACTTATCTAGTCCTATCAGAGTCATCTAGTCATATACTTATCTAGTCCTATCAGAGTCATCTAGTCATATACTTATCTAGTCCTATCAGAGTCATCTAGTCATATACTTATCTAGTCCTATCAGAGTCATCTAGTCATATACTTATCTAGTCCTATCAGAGTCATCCAGTCATATACTTATCTAGTCCTATCAGAGTCATCTAGTCATATACTTATCTAGTCCTATCAGAGTCATCTAGTCATATACTTATCTAGTCCTATCAGAGTCATCTAGTCATATACTTATCTAGTCCTATCAGAGTCATCCAGTCATATACTTATCTAGTCCTATCAGAGTCATCTAGTCATATACTTATCTAGTCCTATCAGAGTCATTGAGTCATATACCCATCTAGTTATCTATGTCATCAAGTCATATACTGATCTAGTCATATACTCATCTAGTCATATGAGAGTCATAGCATCAGAGTCATCTCATCATATCATCAGAGTCATCTGCTCAGCTCAAGGCTTCATTTCCTTTCACAAGATTGTGTTAGTGAAGACCCCAACTGTCCACTTGTGTCCTGCACGCTGCCTGATGCTCCATGTCCTTCTACACTTGATGTCTTAGAAATAAATTGATTGCCGTCATACCGCTGAAATATTGCTGTGTGCCGCATTAAACAACTAACAATCAACCAGTAAAATTAAATCTGTCTGTGTAGTATCTGTATACTCACAAACTATACAGAGTGTGGAACTACAATAAAGACTTCTTATTATGAGACTGGTACCTCCATTGTTGAGGCTGCGATTCATCTGTACTGCAATGTGTAGGAAGACATCTAAGAAGTGTTTTGATTGGAGGAGACAGCTAGGTTCAGTGATGTCCATGTGCAGAGATATTTCGGCCATGTTGAGAGCGGCAAGTGCCACCCATGCCGACCCATCTGCCTGAAAAACAACAAACACTCAGAGAAACCACTCATCTACACAAGGTGTTTTCTTGTGCGTGTGTTTGTTTGTTTTGTGTGACTCTGTTTTTTTGTTAAGCGTGTGTGTACGTGTGCGAGCTTTTGTACAGTTTGGACTAATCCTGATTTTATAGTGCTGACCATAGAGATACCATGCCACAGTTTATCATGCATACCCTACTCAGACGCAATATGCAGACTCCGAGCAAACAAATCCTCGTTTCATCCCCTTAATGCCAAGTGCCAGGCAGGGTAGCAACAAGTACCATCTATTAACATCTTTTGGTATGACCCAACCAGTGGATCAAGCACTGACTGGGTAGACAGTCCATCCACTACACCATAGTTACTGACATTGGACCAGAGGTGTTACAACATTTTCAGCAATATGACCAAAGACAAACAACAGGACAAGTTATGAGATAAATCAACTACTACAATTTTTGTTTTTGAACTACATTTCTAGTTCCAGTAAAAGCTGGGATACATTATCACACATCTTGTGAATGAAAGTTTTGAGGTCAGTGAAAGCAAGCACATGGTAAAGCGTTTTGATTTAACACCTGTAAAGATCCCTGGTAGAATTGGTCTTCAGCATCCCATGCTTGCTGTAAAAGGTAAATATGCTTGTCGTAAGAGGCGACTAACAGATCTGGTGGTCAGGCTCGCTGACTTGGTTGATGCATGTCATCGTATCCCAATTGCGTGGATCGATGGTTATGATGTTAATCACTCGATTGTCTGGTCCAGACTCGATTACTTACAGACTGCCGTCATATAGCTGGAATATTGCTGAGTGCGGCGCTAAACAACAAACAAAGCCTACCGGTATGTCAGTTGTGGGCCAACGTGTCAGGGATTTTACTGGTGCTTCTTATAACATTGCACACTCACATGTATGTTGTATGTTGTCTTTCATCATCTTCCCGAGGTAAGAAAGTTAACTGACTATAAATGTCCAGTTTCCACCCTTGCTGATCTAGGCTGGTATTATGGAGTTACGTTTTAGCTGGTCTAACGAGTCTATGCATAGTCCAATCAAAATCGTGCAACAAAAACGAAATGTGTCATTAACTGTCATGCAGACTTCTGTCGATTGCAGGATTTGCAAAGTATGTGCACTGCCAACTCGTTGTCAGCAGATATTTGCCAAATCTTTGCATGTTTTTAATCAAGGTGCTCATGTGATTTGATGCACTTCGCGATGTAAGACCCGTTTTATCACAATATAGATCTTGATTATCGATCAGATTGTCTTGACAGGGCGAGTGATATGAGAGGTTGAATCTGATTGGTCCACAGGAGGGGCATAGAAGGGACATAGCTCGTAATAGCCACTGGTGGCACTACGACTGGGCCCAGGAATTCCAGCCTAGTTTGGCAAGGGTGGAAACTGGACTTTTAAAGTCAGTTAGCAAACTTGCCTCGTGAAGATGGTCTTTCATGGGCATTTTGAAGTTAGATAACAACATAATGAGGAAGCCAATGGCATTAACAGGATATAACTTCATACTGTTATCTTTGTACATTAACCTTGCCTTGTCTAAACATATCAGCATATATATATGACTTGATGTTGTATATTGGACAACCTTATTTTCAGAGGGGAGAGTCTAGTCAGTTGTTCCCCATACAGGTAGCCAGGCAACTCAGATAAACGTGATAAACCCAAAAGAGGGAGAGGTATGACAATCGGTATGGGGAGAAAAGGTACTGTTCTCAACACGAGGATTGTGAGAACATGCAGGAAATACCCCTCTATGCATAAAATGGACTTGTCCAACATTGCCAAGGTCGGATTTATATGAGGGAGTCATTATTATTTAAATATGGGTAAACATTTTTAAAGTTTGTACATTTTATCATCATCCTTAAAGAGGCTGTACATAATGTTGATATCTCATCCAAGAAATAAACAACTTGTGGTTGTTGTGTATCGTACAATAAAACAGTGCAGGGAGAATAAACCATTTGGGGCTGCACTTGTCATTTATTTTTTAAATAAATCTTACTGAGTTCCGCTGATAAAGGGGTCAGGTGTAGCCCTGAAACATCATTACAAACAAGAGAGATGTTTTTATCCAGAAAAGCGTCATGTCTTCACATGTTTTGACATGTAGGTCATAGATGATGCATCTCCATGAACAATGGATTTTTGTTCAAACTTGTGATAGTATTATTCTTTTGTGATTGGATCAATTAAGTTTTCCAGACATCCATGATATTTCTAACTGCATTATGATGTTGATATACTAGAAGTATGGCTGTATGCCCTGCTGATCAGTACCAGATGCTGCAACACTTGCTGCTAGAACCTCCCTGATTCAAGCATATAGCTATTGTTGGTAGTTCTGCAGGTAAAGTGTTCACTCATAACACTATAGATCCTGTTTGATTCAAATGTTCTTTTGTCATATACCAGCATCAGTTCTGTAAAGCTTGGTTCAATAAAGACAATTCTGATGATTTTACAAATAATAACTTCCTGAATCTTCCTGTAACTCACATGATGCCCTGTAACTGCAATATCTCCCTGTAACTGAAGTATCTCCATATAACTCCCTGTAAATGAAGTATCTCCCTATAACTCCCTGTAACTGAGTATCTCCCTATAACTCAAGTGTCTCCCTATAACTCAAGTGTCTCCCTGTAACTCAAGTGTCTCCCTGTAACTCAAGTGTCTCCCTATAACTCAAGTGTCTCCCTATAACTCAAGTATGTCCATGTAACTCAAGTGTCTCCCTATAACTCAAGTATGTCCCTATTACTCCAGAGTCTCCCTATAACTCAAGTATGTCCCTGTAACTAAAGTGTCTCCCTGTAACTCAAGTATGTCCCTGTAACTCAAGTGTCTCCCTATAACTCAAGTATGTCCCTGTAACTAAAGTGTCTCCCTGTAACTCAAGTATGTCCCTGTAACTCAAGTGTCTCCCTGTAAATCAAGCATCTCCGTGTAACTCCAGTGTCTCCCTATAACTCAAGTATGTCCGTGTAACTCAAGTGTCTCCCTATAACTCAAGTATGTCCCTGTAACTAAAATGTCTCCCTGTAACTCAAGTATGTCCCTGTAACTCAAGTATGTCCCTGTAACTCAAGTATCTCCCTGTAACTCAAGTATCTCCCTGTAACTCAAGTGTCTCCCTGTAACTCAAGTGTCTCCCTGTAACTCCAGTATCTCCCTGTAACTCAAGTATCTCCCTGTAACTCAAGTGTCTCCCTGTAACTCCAGTATCTCCCTATAACTCAAGTGTCTCCCTATAACTCAAGTATCTCCCTGTAACTCAAGTATCTCCCTGTAACTCAAGTATCTCCCTGTAACTCAAGTATGTCCCTATAACTCAAGTATGTCCCTGTAACTCAAGTATGTCCCTGTAACTCAAGTGTCTCCCTGTAACTCAAGTATCTCCCTGTAACTCAAGTATCTCCCTGTAACTCAAGTGTCTCCCTGTAACTCCAGTATCTCCCTATAACTCAAGTATCTCCCTGTAACTCAAGTGTCGCCCTGTAACTCAAGTGTCTCCCTGTTACTCCAGTGTCTCCGTGTAACTCAAGTGTCGCCCTGTAACTCAAGTGTCTCCGTGTAACTCAAGTGTCTCCCTATAACTCCAGTATCTCCCTATAACTCAAGTGTCTCCCTGTAACTCAAGTGTCTCCCTGTAACTCCAGTATCTCCCTATAACTCAAGTGTCTCCCTGTAACTCAAGTGTCGCCCTGTAACTCCAGTGTCTCCCTGTAACTCAAGTGTCGCCCTGTAACTCAAGTGTCTCCGTGTAACTCAAGTGTCTCCGTGTAACTCAAGTGTCGCCCTGTAACTCCAGTGTCTCCCTGTAACTCAAGTGTCTCCCTATAACTCAAGTGTCTCCCTGTAACTCCAGTGTCTCCCTGTAACTCAAGTGTCTCCCTATAACTCAAGTGTCTCCCTGTAACTCCAGTGTCTCCCTGTAACTCCAGTGTCTCCCTGTAACTCAAGTGTCTCCGTGTAACTCAAGTATGTCCCTGTAACTCAAGTGTCTCCCTATAACTCAAGTGTCTCCGTGTAACTCAAGTGTCTCCCTATAACTCAAGTGTCTCCCTATAACTCAAGTCTCTCCCTGTAACTCAAGTGTCTCCCTATAACTCAAGTGTCTCCCTGTAACTCAAGTGTCTCCCTGTAACTCCAGTATCTCCCTATAACTCAAGTGTCTCCCTGTAACTCAAGTGTCTCCCTGTAACTCAAGTGTCGCCCTGTAACTCAAGTGTCTCCGTGTAACTCAAGTATGTCCCTGTAACTCAAGTGTCTCCCTATAACTCAAGTGTCTCCCTGTAACTCCAGTATCTCCCTATAACTCAAGTGCCTCCGTGTAACTCAAGTGTCGCCCTGTAACTCCAGTGTCTCCCTATAACTCCAGTATCTCCCTATAACTCAAGTGTCTCCGTGTAACTCAAGTGTCGCCCTGTAACTCAAGTGTCGCCCTGTAACTCCAGTGTCTCCCTGTAACTCCAGTATCTCCCTATAACTCCAGTATCTCCCTATAACTCAAGTGTCGCCCTGTAACTCAAGTGTCGCCCTGTAACTCCAGTGTCTCCCTGTAACTCCAGTGTCTCCCTATAACTCAAGTGTCTCCCTGTAACTCAAGTATCTCCCTGTAACTCAAGTATCTCCCTATAACTCAAGTGTCTCCCTGTAACTCAAGTGTCGCCCTGTAACTCAAGTGTCTCCCTGTAACTCAAGTGTCTCCCTGTAACTCCAGTATCTCCCTATAACTCAAGTGTCTCCCTGTAACTCAAGTGTCTCCCTGTAACTCAAGTGTCGCCCTGTAACTCAAGTGTCTCCGTGTAACTCAAGTATGTCCCTGTAACTCAAGTGTCTCCCTGTAACTCAAGTGTCTCCCTGTAACTCCAGTGTCTCCCTGTAACTCAAGTGTCTCCCTGTAACTCAAGTGTCGCCCTGTAACTCAAGTGTCTCCGTGTAACTCAAGTATGTCCCTGTAACTAAAGTGTCTCCCTATAACTCAAGTGTCTCCGTGTAACTCAAGTATGTCCCTGTAACTCAAGTGTCTCCCTATAACTCAAGTGTCGCCCTGTAACTCAAGTGTCTCCCTGTAACTCAAGTATCTCCCTGTAACTCAAGTGTCTCCCTGTAACTCAAGTATCTCCCTGTAACTCAAGTATGTCCCTGTAACTCAAGTATCTCCCTGTAACTCAAGTGTCTCCCTGTAACTCAAGTGTCTCCCTATAACTCAAGTGTCTCCCTGTAACTCAAGTGTCTCCCTGTAACTCCAGTATCTCCCTATAACTCAAGTGTCTCCCTGTAACTCAAGTATGTCCCTGTAACTAAAGTGTCTCCCTGTAACTCAAGTATGTCCCTGTAACTCAAGTGTCTCCCTATAACTCAAGTATGTCCCTGTAACTAAAGTGTCTCCCTGTAACTCAAGTATGTCCCTGTAACTCAAGTGTCTCCCTGTAAATCAAGCATCTCCGTGTAACTCCAGTGTCTCCCTGTAACTCAAGTATGTCCGTGTAACTCAAGTGTCTCCCTATAACTCAAGTATGTCCCTGTAACTAAAGTGTCTCCCTGTAACTCAAGTATGTCCCTGTAACTCAAGTGTCTCCCTATAACTCAAGTATGTCCCTGTAACTAAAGTGTCTCCCTGTAACTCAAGTATGTCCCTGTAACTCAAGTGTCTCCCTGTAAATCAAGCATCTCCGTGTAACTCCAGTGTCTCCCTGTAACTCAAGTATGTCCGTGTAACTCAAGTGTCTCCCTATAACTCAAGTATGTCCCTGTAACTAAAATGTCTCCCTGTAACTCAAGTATGTCCCTGTAACTCAAGTATGTCCCTGTAACTCAAGTATCTCCCTGTAACTCAAGTGTCTCCCTATAACTCAAGTGTCTCCCTGTAACTCAAGTATCTCCCTGTAACTCAAGTATCTCCCTGTAACTCAAGTGTCTCCCTGTAACTCCAGTATCTCCCTATAACTCAAGTGTCTCCCTGTAACTCAAGTGTCTCCCTGTAACTCAAGTGTCGCCCTGTAACTCAAGTATCTCCGTGTAACTCAAGTATGTCCCTGTAACTCAAGTGTCTCCCTATAACTCAAGTGTCTCCCTGTAACTCCAGTATCTCCCTATGACTCAAGTGCCTCCGTGTAACTCAAGTGTCGCCCTGTAACTCCAGTGTCTCCCTATAACTCCAGTATCTCCCTATAACTCAAGTGTCTCCGTGTAACTCAAGTGTCGCCCTGTAACTCAAGTGTCGCCCTGTAACTCCAGTGTCTCCCTGTAACTCCAGTATCTCCCTATAACTCCAGTATCTCCCTATAACTCAAGTGTCGCCCTGTAACTCAAGTGTCGCCCTGTAACTCCAGTGTCTCCCTGTAACTCCAGTGTCTCCCTATAACTCAAGTGTCTCCCTGTAACTCAAGTATCTCCCTGTAACTCAAGTATCTCCCTATAACTCAAGTGTCTCCCTGTAACTCAAGTGTCGCCCTGTAACTCAAGTGTCTCCCTGTAACTCAAGTGTCTCCCTGTAACTCCAGTATCTCCCTATAACTCAAGTGTCTCCCTGTAACTCAAGTGTCTCCCTGTAACTCAAGTGTCGCCCTGTAACTCAAGTGTCTCCGTGTAACTCAAGTATGTCCCTGTAACTCAAGTGTCTCCCTGTAACTCAAGTGTCTCCCTGTAACTCCAGTGTCTCCCTGTAACTCAAGTGTCTCCCTGTAACTCAAGTGTCGCCCTGTAACTCAAGTGTCTCCGTGTAACTCAAGTATGTCCCTGTAACTAAAGTGTCTCCCTATAACTCAAGTGTCTCCGTGTAACTCAAGTATGTCCCTGTAACTCAAGTGTCTCCCTATAACTCAAGTGTCGCCCTGTAACTCAAGTGTCTCCCTGTAACTCAAGTATCTCCCTGTAACTCAAGTGTCTCCCTGTAACTCAAGTATCTCCCTGTAACTCAAGTATGTCCCTGTAACTCAAGTATCTCCCTGTAACTCAAGTGTCTCCCTGTAACTCAAGTGTCTCCCTATAACTCAAGTGTCTCCCTGTAACTCAAGTGTCTCCCTGTAACTCCAGTATCTCCCTATAACTCAAGTGTCTCCCTGTAACTCAAGTATGTCCCTGTAACTAAAGTGTCTCCCTGTAACTCAAGTATGTCCCTGTAACTCAAGTGTCTCCCTATAACTCAAGTATGTCCCTGTAACTAAAGTGTCTCCCTGTAACTCAAGTATGTCCCTGTAACTCAAGTGTCTCCCTGTAAATCAAGCATCTCCGTGTAACTCCAGTGTCTCCCTGTAACTCAAGTATGTCCGTGTAACTCAAGTGTCTCCCTATAACTCAAGTATGTCCCTGTAACTAAAGTGTCTCCCTGTAACTCAAGTATGTCCCTGTAACTCAAGTGTCTCCCTATAACTCAAGTATGTCCCTGTAACTAAAGTGTCTCCCTGTAACTCAAGTATGTCCCTGTAACTCAAGTGTCTCCCTGTAAATCAAGCATCTCCGTGTAACTCCAGTGTCTCCCTGTAACTCAAGTATGTCCGTGTAACTCAAGTGTCTCCCTATAACTCAAGTATGTCCCTGTAACTAAAATGTCTCCCTGTAACTCAAGTATGTCCCTGTAACTCAAGTATGTCCCTGTAACTCAAGTATCTCCCTGTAACTCAAGTATCTTCCTGTAACTCAAGTGTCTCCCTGTAACTCAAGTATCTCCCTGTAACTCAAGTATCTCCCTGTAACTCAAGTGTCTCCCTGTAACTCCAGTATCTCCCTATAACTCAAGTGTCTCCCTATAACTCAAGTATCTCCCTGTAACTCAAGTATCTCCCTGTAACTCAAGTATCTCCCTGTAACTCAAGTATGTCCCTATAACTCAAGTATGTCCCTGTAACTCAAGTATGTCCCTGTAACTCAAGTGTCTCCCTGTAACTCAAGTATCTCCCTGTAACTCAAGTATCTCCCTGTAACTCAAGTGTCTCCCTGTAACTCCAGTATCTCCCTATAACTCAAGTGTCTCCCTGTAACTCAAGTGTCTCCCTGTAACTCAAGTGTCTCCCTGTAACTCAAGTGTCGCCCTGTAACTCAAGTGTCTCCGTGTAACTCAAGTGTCTCCGTGTAACTCAAGTGTCTCCGTGTAACTCAAGTGTCTCCGTGTAACTCAAGTATGTCCCTATAACTCAAGTATGTCCCTGTAACTCAAGTATGTCCCTGTAACTCAAGTATCTCCCTATAACTCAAGTGTCTCCCTGTAACTCAAGTATCTCCCTATAACTCAAGTGTCTCCCTGTAACTCAAGTGTCTCCCTGTAACTCCAGTATCTCCCTATAACTCAAGTGTCTCCCTGTAACTCAAGTGTCTCCCTGTAACTCAAGTGTCGCCCTGTAACTCAAGTGTCTCCGTGTAACTCAAGTATGTCCCTGTAACTCAAGTGTCTCCCTGTAACTCAAGTGTCTCCCTGTAACTCCAGTGTCTCCCAATAACTCAAGTGTCTCCCTGTAACTCAAGTGTCGCCCTGTAACTCAAGTGTCTCCGTGTAACTCAAGTATGTCCCTGTAACTCAAGTGTCTCCCTATAACTCAAGTGTCTCCCTGTAACTCCAGTATCTCCCTATAACTCAAGTGTCTCCGTGTAACTCAAGTGTCTCCCTGTAACTCCAGTGTCTCCCTATAACTCCAGTGTCTCCCTATAACTCAAGTGTCTCCCTGTAACTCCAGTATCTCCCTATAACTCAAGTGTCTCCCTGTAACTCAAGTGTCGCCCTGTAACTCAAGTGTCGCCCTGTAACTCAAGTGTCTCCCTGTAACTCAAGTGTCGCCCTGTAACTCAAGTGTTGCCCTGTAACTCAAGTGTCGCCCTGTAACTCAAGTGTCGCCCTGTAACTCAAGTGTCGCCCTGTAACTCAAGTGTCGCCCTGTAACTCAAGTGTCGCCCTGTAACTCAAGTGTCTCCCTGAAACAATATCCTGCAGCCCCCTTACCTGTGTCAGCGTGTACCCCTGGGGTGTGTTGGACCTGTCAATCACGCTGATGTTGTCCAAGCCCAGGAAGCCGCCGCTGACGTAGAGGCTGTCAGGGCTGAGACGACCCATCCACCTGCAGGAGAACGAGCATCTCTAGAAAGGAGGCCTTCATCAACACAGTCGCATATCCTGATCCTGTTTCTGTAGGTGAACTCCCCACAAAGTTGTCACATACTGGTTATAAACTTGTAGAAACAATACATATGAACATATCCTTACAGAAGAGCCTACGAGCAACAAGGAATTACAGATGATCTGTAATGAGTGAATTAAGCCTTGGCGAGGACATTACTTTGCAAGAGAGAAATAATCCCTACTTTGTAGTTGCGAGTAGGTTATTCTCCATATTACCCAAAAAGTTTTCTGAGAAATGTCGTGGAAATTGTGATGCTGATGTGAAACACCACACCTGTACCTACCATTCAAAGTTTCTGATGAGGGTAGGGTAGCAGCGGGTCAGGAAGTCAATGTCGTTACTGTCATCAGCTCGGTGCACACCTAGACACGCCCATGCATGTAGGGGAGGGTTGGGGTCACTGAGGTTAAACTCACAGCCTGGAAACTAAACACACAGAAACGTATGACATATAATCAACAGAGACAAAGTGACTGTGCATACCACCAACATCTCCAACTACTAACCGGTCCTCGAGGAATTGCTAGTCTTAAACAAAATTGCTTTATGGTTCAAATATCTGACTATGCACTTTGTAATTGCATAGGCAAAACAATCTCAATTTGAAAACTCCTTTTCCTTCATGTATCAATTTTTTCTATCCACATATACCAGTACCTGTTGTTTGTAACCATGATATCGACCAAAACATCACACATCTGTCTGTAACACCTACCTCACCATCACACATCTGTAACAGCTTCCTCACCATCACACATCTGTCTGTAACACCTACCTCACCATCACACATCTGTAACAGCTTCCTCACCATCACACAGCTGTCTGTAACACCTACCTCACCATCACACATCTGTAACAGCTTCCTCACCATCACACAGCTGTCTGTAACACCTACCTCACCATCACACATCTGTAACAGCTTCCTCACCATTACACATCTGTCTGTAACACCTACCTCACCATCACACATCTGTAACAGCTTCCTCACCATTACACATCTGTCTGTAACACCTACCTCACCATCACACAGCTGTCTGTAACACCTACCTCACCATCACACATCTGTAACACCTACTTCAACATCACATAGCTGTCTGTAACACCTACCTCACCATCACACATCTGTAACACCTACTTCACCATCACACAGCTGTCTGTAACACCTACCTGACCATCACACAGCTGTCTATAACACCTACCTCACCATCACACATGTCTGTAACACCTACCTGACCATCACACATCTGTCTGTAACACCTACCTAACCATCACACATCTACCTGTAACAACTACCTGGCCATCAGACATGTCTGTATCACCTACCTCACCATCACACATCTGTCTGTAACACCTACCTCACCATCACTCATCTGTCTGTAACACCTACCTCACCATCACACAGCTGTCTGTAACACCTACCTCACCATCACAATCGGTCTGTAACACCTACCTCACCATCACACAGCTGTCTGTAACACCTACCTCACCAACACACTTCTGTCTGTCATACCTACCGTACCATCACACATCTGTCTGTAACACCTATCTCACCATCACACATCTGTCTGTAACACATACCTCACCATCACACATCTACCTGTAACAACTACCTGACCATCACACATGTCTGTATCACCTACCTCACCATCACACAACTGTCTGTAACACCTACCTCACCATCACACATCTGTCTGTTACACCCACCTGCCCATCACACATCTGTCTGTTACACCCACCTGCCCATCACTCTTCATGTATCTGTCTGTAACACCCACCTGCCCATCACACATCTGTCTGTTACACCCACCTGCCCATCACACATCTGTAACACCCACCTGCCCATCACACATCTGTCTGTAACACCCACCTGCCCATCACACATCTGTCTGTTACACCCACCTGCCCATCACACATCTGTCTGTTACACCCACCTGCCCATCACACATCTGTCTGTAACACCTACCTGCCCATCACTCTTCATGTATCTGTCTGTAACACCTACCTGCCCATCACTCTTCATGTATCTGTCTGTAACACCCACCTGCCCATCACACATCTGTCTGTAACACCCACCTGCCCATCACACATCTGTCTGTAACACCTACCTGCCCATCACTCTTCATGTATCTGTCTGTAACACCCACCTGCCCATCACACATCTGTCTGTAACACCTACCTGCCCATCACTCTTCATGTATCTGTCTGTAACACCCACCTGCCCATCACACATCTGTCTGTAACACCTACCTGCCCATCACACATCTGTCTGTAACACCTACCTGCCCATCACACATCTGTCTGTAACACCTACCTGCCCATCACACATCTGTCTGTAACACCTACCTGCCCATCACACATCTGTAACATCCACCTGCCCATGACACATCTGTCTGTTACACCCACCTGCCCATCACTCTTCATATATCTTTCTGTAACACCTACCTGCCCATCACACATCTGTCTGTAACACCTACCTGCCCATCACACATCTGTCTGTAACACCTACCTGCCCATCACACATCTGTCTGTTACATCCACCTGCCCATCACACATCTGTCTGTAACACCCACCTGCCCATCACACATCTGTCTGTTACATCCACCTGCCCATCACACATCTGTCTGTTACATCCACCTGCCCATCACACATCTGTCTGTAACACCCACCTGCCCATCACACATCTGTCTGTTACACCCACCTGCCCATCACACATCTGTCTGTTACATCCACCTGCCCATCACACATCTGTCTGTTACATCCACCTGCCCATCACACATCTGTCTGTTACACCCACCTGCCCATCACACATCTGTCTGTTACACCCACCTGCCCATCACACATCTGTCTGTTACATCCACCTGCCCATCACACATTTGTCTGTAACACCTACCTGCCCATCACACATCTGTCTGTTACACCCACCTGCCCATCACACATCTGTCTGTTACACCCACCTGCCCATCACACATCTGTCTGTTACACCCACCTGCCCATCACACATTTGTCTGTAACACCTACCTGCCCATCACACATCTGTCTGTTACACCTACCTGCCCATCACTCTTCATGTATCTGTCTGTAACACCTACCTGCCCATCACACAGCTGTCTGTAACACCTACCTGCCCATCACACATCTGTCTGTAACACCTACCTGCCCATCACACATCTGTCTGTAACACCTACCTGCCCATCACACATCTGTCTGTTACATCCACCTGCCCATCACACATCTGTCTGTAACACCTACCTGCCCATCACACATCTGTCTGTTACATCCACCTGCCCATCACACATCTGTAACACCTACCTGCCCATCACACATCTATCTGTAACACCTACCTGCCCATCACACATCTGTCTGTTACATCCACCTGCCCATCACACATCTGTAACACCTACCTGCCCATCACACATCTATCTGTAACACCTACCTGCCCATCACACATCTGTCTGTAACATCCACCTGCCCATCACACATCTATCTGTAACACCTACCTGCCCATCACACATCTGTCTGTAACACCTACCTGCCCATCACACATCTGTCTGTTACATCCACCTGCCCATCACACATCTGTCTGTAACACCCACCTGCCCATCACACATTTGTCTGTAACACCTACCTGCCCATCACTCTTCATGTATCTGTCTGTGAGGAACAGCTCCAGCTGATGTTTACAGAAGTCAATGTCGACACGGATGTACGGGATCATGTGGAACGCCAGGTCCCATGGGGCATACTGGAAGATGAGGAGTATGATGAAGATGCTGATATTTGGGGGGAAGAATAATATGATGATCTGAGTGAGTGATTTTACCATCCTTGTTGATGTCATCTTCCTGAGGCAAGGGCATTAACTGACTATAAACATCCAGTTTCCACCCTTGCAGAACTAGACTGGAATTTCCAGGCTCGATTGTAGCTCCACCAGTGGCTATTATGAGTTTTGTCCCTTTAATGTCCTTCCTATTGACCAATCAGATTCAACCTTTTATATCACTTGCATTTGCTTCAAACAAAATGGCGGTGCCTAGTCAAGATGATCTGATTGATAATCAAGATCCATATTTTGATAAAACATGTCTTACCTCGCAAAGTGCATCAAATCACTTGAGCATCTTGATTAAAAATATGAAGCGATTAGCAAAATATCAGCTTGAGGTACACCTGCTTTGCAAATCCTGCAGTAGACTCAAATCTGCCCGTTGAAATCCATGTTGTTTACAAACCGGATGTCTAACTCGTTACGCGATTTTGATTGGACTATACATAGAATCGTCCGGCCAGCCAAAATGTAACTACGGAATTCCAGCCTAGTCCGTCAAGGCTGGAAAGTGGACTTTTATAGTCAGTTAATGCCCTTGTCTCGGGAAGATGCGTTTATGTAAGGTATTCATCGCCATTCTATAGTGATAAATACTCTGGACTCATTCACCACCATGGCCTTATTTCTAAAGTGTCCATCTTTCTCATCACTAACCTAGCACATGACTTCTTCCACTCACGGGAGGTGTTTGATTGGACAACTATTTTCAAAATCATATCATTCAACACTATCCACTTCTAATCGTGATTGATTAAGTACGGTTTACGAGGCATCTTATATTATGGAATATCCTATCACCTTGACAATCACATTAACCACTACAAGTGGATTTACCCAAGGAAACTCCCACTTGTCTGGCACAGCGATGATGTCCGAGTTCCTGATGTGCTGCCATCCCTCGTTCCACACTTGCCTCACTGTAGGGTCATCGGAGGTCGCACTGGCCTTGTCCTGACCTCTTGACCCTGAATAAATAAACACTGACTGAATGGACATTTATGCTATTGTCAGCAATATCACATCAACATCAATAGGGCCAGGACAATATCAGCTGGGCCAGGTATTGGCAGGGTATGAAGACACACACTCAGCAAGCAGCTAGGCCACAGTGACTCTTACATGAACGAGAATAAACATACTGTATTACGTGACCGCATTAGATAGATTCAGGGGACGTAACTCTCATCTTGATACATTACTGAAAGTACATGTCATTGAGGAACATGTTTGTTATTGTTTTGATTTTGAATTATGAGTTCTAGAGAACATTGTACTATATGGCGCTCCTGTATAATAGACAGTGGCTTGTATCAGAACAGAAACCAGATATCATTATAAACACGCCCGTGTTTCAACCTGTTCAATACTTGTTTAGTTATTGTCATTTCATGCTGGTTCTCTCAAGTAAAGTGTTCGAAGAAATGTTCTGTTTTTATTTATAAGTAAACAACTTGCGGCAGTCAAGTGGTACACTGGCAAGACGAGGTTAAAGCAGGCTTCGACCAGGACATTCGTCTCGGCATGTTGGAGGAAGTACCTGTCAGTAAGCTGGGGACATGGTGTCACTGCATGGTAATCCGCGCGAAAAAGAACTGCAAGACTTCCAGGCCTTGAAAAAGCATGCGTTCCATGAGACTCACAACACCCAATCCCCGTTCCACCAGGCGAGACGAGAAGCACAAGACAGTCCTCGACGTATGGAACGGTTACCACAGCGTCCAACTACACGATGACGACCGCCACAAGACGACCTTCATCACTCCATGGGGGCGCTACTGGCACCTTTCAGCCCCACAAGGGTACACTGCATCGGGGGACGGTTACTCACGACGGTACAACAAGACCAAGTGCGTGGACGATATGCTACTATGGTCATCCCGATCAATCTGTGATGACATAGCAACCCGCATCACTGTACCAGCACCCATCATGACACCGCAGCTACCTGCCCTCGACAGCAACCCCACAACACAAAGAGAGCCCACACCGCCACTGGTACTGACGTCAGAAAGTACACCCCGGCACAAGACATCACCCGATTCAGTCACAGCATCAGCACCAGGACTAGACACACCGAAGTCACCACCAACAGCCCCTGAGACCCCGAGAGCCCCACCCCAACCGGAGCCCGATGTGATACCACCATCACCAGCACTGGGTCTACGCCGATCCACAAGAGCGACCAGTGTGCCTACTTGGCACAAGGACTACTCCATGGGATAGTAATACGATGGGTTATATAGACGTTCGTTCACATCCATTAAACTTCAAATTTCCTTAGCCTTTATCCATTAGCATGATAAAGACTCGGAGGGGGATAGAGAACATTGTACTATACAGCGCCCCTGTATAATAGACGGTCCCTTGTACCAGTGCACATGTGAACAGGAACCAGATATAATTATAAACACGCCCGTGTTTCAACCTGTTCAATAGTTGTTTCGTTATTGTCACTTCATGCTGGTTCTCTCAAGTAAAGTGATCAAAAAAATGGAACTCTATTCTTATTTACGGTCAATGCAATCTTTTGAATTGTATTCAATTACATATCTGCTGCTTTATTATATATATGTAATAAGCTGGCATGAATGTCCAACTATGTTTTTACTGATAGGTCAAATAATGTATACTCACACGGTTTTAAGCAAATAGGTAACAAACACGTAACCATAAATTGATAAGAGTTTTAGCATCTAGTGAAGCCTGATGGTGTTAGCAATATTTTTGGTTGCATTTTGGAAGCCCCGAGTAAAAATGCAACATAAAAAACGAATCGCCAAAACACACAATTTCAATAAATATGTGGGTATCATGCACCCATTTCTTGCAAAATCGTAAATGCACAAACTGTCAGGAACTGTAGTGGGTATAAAACTGTGGCCGATTCTTGGACCTACCACTCCTTGGTCAACAATGCCACGCCTAACTCAAATTCAGAGAAACCAGGCTATCGGACGTTTGGAAGCTGGAGAGTCTGTCCAATATGTTGCCCGTCATTTCAACGTTAACATAACCACAATTTACCATCTCCTGCATCGATACAATGCTACACAGACCACAGATGACCTTCCTCGGAGCGGTCATCTTAGGGTCACCACACCTTGACAAGATCAGTGAGATTACCCGTCAACACCAGAGACATCCATTCCTAACTGCAAGTGAAAGTGCACGACAGACCATAGGAACACATAATCGACACATTAGCCGGGACACTATGATCCGACGTCTCCGTTCCACCAACCTCAGATGTCGTCGTCCTGTTCTCCAACCACGGCATCAACAAGCATGACTTCAGTGGGCACAGGGTCATCACAATTGGCGTCATCATGAGTGGAGGCGTGTCATTTTCTCTGATGAAAGTCGCTTTTGTGTCTCCCATGCAGATGGAAGAGTCAGAATTTGGTGGCGTCGAGGTGATCGTTTCGGTGACAGACATGTTGTGGAAAGGGATCCATGGGGTGGACCTAGCGTCATATGGACTTAATGCGAGACTTGGACCCATGTGCTTTCTGAATGTTGGTCAAGGTCGGGGACACGGCATCACTGCTCAGCGGTATATCGACCAAGTGATCAGACCCCACGCTGTTCCATTTTTTGCACAACATCAACAACACAGCAGGACAACGCTCGTCCCCATGTTGCCAGAGCTACCATGGCCTTTCTGCAACAACACAGCATCCGTGTTCTACCATAGCCAGCCCTCAGCCCTGATCTGAACTCCATCTAACACTTGAGGGATGAGGTTCAAAGGCGTCTGCACAATGTGCACCCAGTCCCTACAACTGCCGACGAACTACGCACAGCTGCTCTGGATGTGTGCAGGAGGATCCCTAGGGCCTTTACAAATCGTCTGATCCACTCAATGTACAGGAGATGTGTGACAGTGATCAATGCTAATGGTGGTCACACCAGGTATTGACTGACATTTTGGGTATTGACCCGAAACTGTGTAAGCCCTTAACATTTGGAAAAAAACAATCATGTCATCTGCCTTTTAATCCATTAAACTGTCTTCAGTCAAATTTTTGTTAATCTTGCCCTATTAGTATTTTTTGTCTTTACTGTGTTTCTTTTGCGTGTGAGTATATATTACTGCATTATATACACAATCCGGAAGTAATGGTTTTGATTAAGTGTAATAGCTTTACAGTGTCAAAGTGAATATTTGCATGTATTATTTCCATTACGAGAATAGTGAGTGAGGGAGTATGGTTTTACGCCGCTTTTAGCAATATTCCAGCAAAATCACAGCGGGGGACACCAGAAATGGCCTTCACACATCATTATGAGAATAGGTTTTCCTTGCTAAAGCTTGTAATAGAAAGTCATTTTTGTATAATATGTACGAAGGCTGTTTATGCAAGTAGTGTTCTAAATACTGTATCTTGTTCAGGTCATCAGAGTTCATAGAAATCTGAAAGTTACAACTGTAAGTATTGTTACAGGTGTGTATCGTGATTGTTGTAGACATCTTGAATGTGGAGACTGATGTATCAGCAGTAGCCTTCATGCAGCATTGTGTTGTTGTTAAACAGTTACATTGAAGTTCACAAGTTGCTTTAAGTAAATATAGGTCATTATATTTCCCTGAAAAGTGTTACTAGGTAAACTATTTCTGATGTGTTCAGATGCCTTCTGTTGCACATTGTGATTGAGACCCTCTGGTCTGTATGCCACTTGAAATATATGGAAGTGTGACCTGACATCTCTCTCTATTGTAGGGTATATTGCTGTGTTTCATCAATGTAAATCCACACAGTTAAAAAAATGTTGGTCACTCTGTCACCATCTATTCATGTAAACCAACAAATTCACACAATCCCAACAAAGATGTCTTGCCATCCTGACACTGGAATATTTGAATGCATTTTTCAACCATAGGTTCACTGGTGCATGTTTTATATAGCTAAATCGATTCATGATTGTTAACTATTTGATTTTGTCAATATCCCGGCTCGGTCCGGATGATGGTCCGGTTTCGATAAGCGGAAGTGGAAGTACTTCCAGGGATGTAAAAAGACAGACGCGTGGCGGGAATAAAGAAGACGAGATAGAAGACAAACGTTAGAGAACTTTATTTGTCATTGTAAAAGGTCACAATAGTACACATGAAGAATGGTATGACTTACTGTTAATGGCCTTCTCCACATCATACAGGTAGAACTGCTTGGACCACAGCAGGCCTGCCACAGCCTGCCGGGATAGTGACTCCTCCTCTTTACTCCACTTTGGGGACATGAGCTGGAAAAACACAACACAGGATCACTGGACCAGACAATCCATTGTGACATCAGCAACACTGATATACACAATTGGGATATGATGACATGCATCAAGCAAGTCAGTGAGCCTCAACACCTGATTCTGTTAGTCGCCTCTTATCACATGCATAGTCGCCTCTGAGTGAGTGAGTGAGTGAGAGGGGTGAGTGAGTGAGTGAGTGAGCGAGGCGGATTTACACTGTGTATACCAGACTGTATGTTTATACCTCGATAAATGTAAAGACATATTCAAGCAAATTCCTAGAAATAAATAAGTAAAAAGTAATAAGGCCAGGGTCTACATATTTAGCCATTAACAGAAAATAATCAGTGATATCTTTCAACACAATAATGCAACACATGCCCAACCCATTCTATTATCAGCCAATCTGGAAACAATAGTCTGTTAGTAGGCGTGGCCAATCTTTTGTTACTTGCTAACATATTGAACTTGTGGGAAAACTAACTTTAGAATAAAACATTTTTGTTTCAGCTTTTCTCTTGTTGATGATATTGTCCATCTGCAAAACACTCAGAGCTGAGCAAGTGTTGGAGTTCTGTATTGACCAGTAGATCTTCTTGTGGCCACCAGGGGTCACTGTTAGCCAGTAGGGGGCAGCACATTTACTTCCATAGTGGCCAGAGTTTACAGCAGTACAATCACCTGAAGAAAATAACTTCAACTGTAGGTAGTAGCAGATACTGTGGCAACACTACTGAGGGGATTAACATTTTGAGTTTTCAGATTTGAAGTATTCTTGACGGGTAACTCGGGTAGGATGGGTACGGAGTAGGATACGGGTACCCACAGGACTATCCGGACCCATAGTTAGTCATGTGATATATTGTTTAATGGCAAAATTTATCTAAAACTCTATGGTTACACTATAAGTAACAAATGTTCACATTTCTTTCTGACTATACACACATTCCTTCTGACTATATGTTTGCAGTCAAATTCAGTGTATGCATGACCAGATCGGTTTATAAATAGGTGTATCTAAATTTACTTTGACAGGTGTACGGTCAAACGTTTCGCAATCGGGCATTTTGTACCTTTCTCTTGAGACCTACAGCGGGTACCCAGGCAGAGTCAGGTAATAGGGGGTTGGGTACCTAGGTAGTTAATTTGGACTCATCCCATCCCTCATACAATCATACCATACTAGTCTAGTAGAAGCCTTATTACCTTGTACGATGTATCTGTGAAAGGCATCCTTATAGAAGCTTGTCTCCAGGTTCACATTGTCCTTTTGTGTGGCTGGTGGAGTTTCAGTGTGTTCAGTACTCAGTTGTGAGCTGGGCCGAGTGTCCAGGTGTTCAGTACTCGGATGGTGTGAGCCCGGCTGAGTGTCCAGGTGTTCAGTACTCTGATGGTGTGAGCTTGGCCGAGTGTCCAGGTGTTCAGTACTCGGATGGTGTGAGCCCGGCTGAGTGTCCAGGTGTTCAGTACTCTGACGGTGTGAGCCTGGCTGAGTGTCCAGGTGTTCAGTACTCGGATGGTGTGAGCCCGGCTGAGTGTCCAGGTGTTCAGTACTCTGACGGTGTGAGCCTGGCTGGGTGTCCAGGTGTTCAGTACTCTGACGGTGTGAGCCCGGCTGAGTGTCCAGGTGTTCAGTACTCTGACGGTGTGAGCCTGGCTGAGTGTCCAGGTGTTCAGTACTCTGACGGTGTGAGCCTGGCTGGGTGTCCAGGTGTTCAGTACTCTGACGGTGTGAGCCTGGCTGGGTGTCCAGGTGTTCAGTACTCTGACGGTGTGAGCCTGGCTGAGTGTCCAGGTGTTCAGTACTCGGATGGTGTGAGCCTGGCTGGGTGTCCAGGTGTTCAGTACTCTGACGGTGTGAGCCTGGCTGGGTGTCCAGGTGTTCAGTACTCTGACGGTGTGAGCCCAGCCGAGTGTCCAGGTGTTCAGTACTCTGATGGTGTGAGCTCGGCCGTGTGTCCAGGTGTTCAGTACTCTGATGGTGTGAGCTCGGCCGAGTCTCCAGGTGTTCAGTACTCTTATGGTGTGAGCCTGGCCGAGTGTCGTTGTTGCAGAACAACACCTCCCCTGGGCTGACCGTGTCGGTGTGAAACTCAACCTGAAATTGCCCTGCAAGAACGTGTACATTCAAGACTGACAACATACACACAACAATCCCCTTCATCACGAGGCATCCCGTATTGTCTTGAGTATAATGCGCAGCCCTCTATAGGAGATTCAGTCTGCACAGCGAATCGCGGCACCTTAGACAACTGGGCCACTCTTGCCCCCCTATTTTCTTAGAATTATTAATAAACAGTTCTATTTATATGTTTATCCTTTTGTTACTTTTGTTCGTTAGTCAGAAAAATTTCTGGTCTGGCAACATTTTATATGGTCCAGTAACTTTGCAATGTTGCCAGTCCGGTAGTCCGACTGACATTTTTGTAATGTTATACACTGTTGTATCATGGACTTGTATCGAGATACAAAACTGTACCGTGTGTTGTTAGACCACTAGGTGTCTGCATGTCCTACCTAGATGACTGCTAGCCTGCACGGATCCTGCTGCTGTGAGATGGAAGGAGGGTTTGCTGTCAGCTGCTTCAACGGGTGACTCACTCCATGTATTCCTGTAAGGAATTAAATCTTACAATATTTTCATATCAACATGTGACTCAATGTTACAGCTACACATCAGAAACTTGGCTTTCACTTTACAATCAAGTGGTTGATAGGACCCAACCATCAGGTGACACGCCACTGACATGGTCGACAACATGTACTGGTGACAACAGCTGCTGGGGAAACAGAGTATTAATAATGAACATGTTGCACAAACGCCACATTCAACAACCCTCTGTTTGAATAACTGCCTTCCTTGAATAAATGCCGGGTCTTATTTTAGTCTACAAAATTGAGTTACAAGGTAGACACAATTTTATGGATAATAACTTCTTTAATACTGTAAAAAGCGACGTTTCGGTATAGATCCTTATACCGTTGTCAAGCAAGACTGAATGAGGGACATAGTACAGAACATATATATAGTAGGTGGAGGATTAACAGCAGAGGATTAACAGTAACAACAATAGCATACATGAGTGGGATAACAGAGTAAGTGTTGACAACAAAAGGATAATACTGTCACAACACGATGGACAGAGAACACACAGGTGGAAGCCAATGGGACATGAAGCCAATTAAACAGGATAAATGATCATTGCTTGATGAGTTCATAGTAGGCAGATGGGATGAAAAAGCCTACTACAGTCAAGTCCCGTTAATCCGACATCGATGGTTGCATATGATTATGTCGAATTAACGAGTATGTCGGATAAACGAAATTTAGTAGTATCAACGTTCGTGATCGATATATATATATATATATACATATTCTGTACTATGTCTCTCATTCAGTCTTGTTTGACTATACCGAAACATCGCTTTTTACAGAATTAAAGAAGTTGTTATCCATAAAATTGTGTCTACCTTGTCATCTGTTTACTTCTAAGTAATGCCTATCAAACAATTTAAATTTGAGTTACCTAATGAATCCTACAAATTAATATCCGTAAAGATCCATAATGTATCAGCTTAAGGATCAGAATGTGAGAAAAAACACACAAGGTTTGATGTAACAATCCTTTTCCAAAATAAATGAGTGAGTTGGGTTTAACGTCGCTTTTAACAGTATTCCAATTGGATCACGGCATGTCAGCTTAATGTGGGAGGAAAGCCCGAAGTGATGCAGGTCTCAGATGTTTACCACTTTAGTGAAACCCACGAGCACGGGTATGGTGCTGAAAAACCTAGAAACATAATCAGGGCAAACCAGGATTCGAACCCACAATCAAAGGTTTCTGGTGTGTCCAAGGGACGCAACTCTGCACAGCGAATCGCAGAACCTTAGACGACTGAGCCACCCATGCCCCCCAGTGAGAGGAAAGTCAGTGAGTGCTCTGACCAATCAGTGCTCACATTACTTTATATGGCTGAGGGAAGTTAGTGAGTGCTCTGACCAATCAGTGCTCACATTACATTATATGGCTGAGGGAAGTCAGTGAGTGCTCTAACCAATCAGTGCTCACATTACTTTATATGGCTGAGGGAAGTCAGTGAGTGCTCTGACCAATCAGTGCTCACATTACTTTATATGACTGAGGGAAGTCAGTGAGTGCTCTGACCAATCAGTGCTCACATTACTTTATATGGCTGAGGGAAGTCAGTGAGTGCTCTGACCAATCAGTGCTCACATTACTTTATATGACTGAGGGAAGTCAGTGAGTGCTCTGACCAATCAGTGCTCACATTACTTTATATGGCTGAGGGAAGTCAGTGAGTGCTATGACTAATCAGTGCTCACATTACTTTATATGACTGAGGGAAGTCAGTGAGTGCTCTGACCAATCAGTGCTCACATTACTTTATATGACTGAGGGAAGTCAGTGAGTGCTCTGACCAATCAGTGCTCACATTACTTTATATGGCTGAGGGAAGTCAGTGAGTGCTCTGACCAATCAGTGCTTACATTACTTTATATGACTGAGGGAAGTCAGTGAGTGCTCTGACCAATCAGTGCTTACATTACTTTATATGACTGAGGGAAGTCAGTGAGTTCTCTGACCAATCAGTGCTCACATTACATTATATGGCTGACAGGGAGTATTCTGGATTACCTAAACCAAACCTGTGGCATGACAAGGATCTCCTCTGTGGTCTCTGACTGGTTGATGACAGTCACACAGCAGATGAGGTCTTCCTCGGCCATCTTAGCATACTCCACATATACATCCCAGTATTTGCTGTCCTTAAACACCCCTACAACAGACGGAAGGACATTAAATAGGACCATGTTCTTTATTCCATTCTCAAACAAATTAAAGATCAAAGGTGAATCAAGGATTTAAAGCTGTCTCTGTGTCAAATTTTGAAGTCATATTTTTTAGGGCATGTGTGTCTAAAGTTTAATTGTTAACTTTGGGATTTGGCTTCTTGAATTTGGTCATGGCGTTCACCCAAGGATGCTCAAAGGTTTCAAGGACTACTGGGGATTCATAAGCTATGAGCTAGAAGGAAATGTGGATTCCACATGTTGTATGTACCGAGTGAGTTTAGAACTGTCAACATCATCTCACAATGAACAGACAGTCTGTAATTCCATAGTGATTGGGATATCCCACATATGTTCCTTACCCGTGAAGATTCGGGGTAGATTAGGTCTTCAGCAAGCCATGCTTGCCGTAAAAGGAGACTTTGCTTGTCGTAAGAGGCGACTAACGGAATCGGGGCGTCAGGCTTGCTGACTTGGTTGATGCATGTCATCGTATCCCATTTGCGTGGATCGATGTTCATGATGTCAATCACTGGACTGTCTGGTCCAGACTTGATTATTTACAGACCTCAGTCATATAGCTTGAATATTGCGTAGTGCGGCATTAAACAACAAACAAACAATACATACTTTCCTGCCTCTCTTTCCTGATGGTTTCTCAAAGACAATTGAAGACATCAACTTAGACCGTCAATGTCGGGAACAATGCCACAGTAAGATGGTCTGGATGTCTGTCCACCCAGTAAATAGTCCTACCCCTTTTCCTTCAACCCAGACCTGTGAAAATTTGATTAGTATAGGTCTCCAGCAACCGATGCTTGCGGTAAAAGGTCACTTTCCTTGTCATAAGAGTCGACTACGGCTCACTTACTTGGTTGATGCATGCCAATCGTATGCCAATTGGGTGGATCGATGTTCATGATGCTAATCACTGGATTGTCTGGTCCAGACTTGAGTACTTACAGACCGCTGTCACATTACCTGAATATACCTGAGTGCAGCATTGAACAAACAAACAAACAAACAAACAAACCCTTCCACCCACCTGTATCGAGAAGCTCCAACTCCGGCTGGTCAGTGCCTCTGTTGGTGTTCTGTGTGACCAGCTGGTCATAAGGGAAGCTGCTCTGGGGGTACTTGTACAACGCCTTCATGTAGGTGTGCCTCGGGTTGTTGTCAAGATAGTAGTACAGCTCCTTCACATCTTCTCCATGGTTTCCCTGAGGAGGAGGTAAGGCTGAAGTTATACAGGTCTTATTATAAGAAAAGCTTCATCATGACGAAGCCTGACAACTGGTCGGATTGAACACATCGTCAACTTGTCAAGCTCCCGACCCTTAAATTTCAATATCTGTTTACGTTTATCTGAGATGATCTTTGAACAAAAGTGATATGGGTAGATTGTGCTGGGTTTATTCTTGGAGGAAGAAAATGCAAATGGAAATTAAGCAAGCTGTATGTATAAGAAACTTATTATTTATTTATTTATTGTTTTAAAATATTTGGTTTTCTTACTAACATTAATAAAAATAAAAGTTGGAAATTATCTTATCTTAACTATTTTAAAAATCTCCCCCTTTGGAGTCAAATCTCCCAGATTGTCATGATGAGGGGTTGACAGGTCTGCTTATACATGTCTCACTTGGGTGAAACCCAGGGCTGCTGACACACTGATGATCATACTCAAGACAAATGTGGGACTCAAAGCCACAATCATAGGACTGTTGTTGTTTGTTTGTTGTTTAATGCCTCACGCAGCACTATTCCAGCTATATGACAGCGGTCTGTTAATAATCAAATTTGGACTAAACAATCCAGTGATTGACATCATGTGCATCGATCCAACAATTGGGATACGATCACATGCATCAACCATGTCAGCTAGCCTGATCACCTGATCTCGTTAGTCGCCTTTCACAGTAAGTATGGCTGCTGAAGACCTGTTCTAACCTGGATCTTCACAGTTCCTCTGCACAACAAATTGCAATGCTTTTGACAACTTGGCTACATGTACCCCTTGAGATAAATAGCTGCATTCAAAGTACAGACGCTCAAAGGGTTCAAGATCACAGTATTTGTTCCAATGTCTTGTATTAGATATTAACAACATCTTTTACAGATTAATAGCTACTGAAAATAGCAACAGAAGAAATGATTTCAGATAGTTTGATATAATGATTTTGTATATTGTTTAACACCACACTCAGCAACATACCAGCTATTTTATGGCAGCCTGCATGTCTGGACCAGACAAACCAAGGGTTGATATCATGAGCAACGATCCACATGGTCAGCTGTAAGATGACAGCAGTCAACCAAGAGACCGAGTCTGACCACCCAATCCATTATTGCCTCTTACGTCAAGTAGAGGTTACTAAGAACCTGTTGTTACCTGGGAATCTGGGGGGGGGCACAGATGGCCCAGTCATCTAAGGTGCCGCGATTCGCTGTCCAGAGTTGCGTCCCTTGGGCACGGCAGAAACCTATGATTGTGGGTTCGAATCCCGGTTTGCCCTGACCTGTATATCTTTGGGCTTTCCTCCCACATTAAGCTGACACACCGCGATATAACAATAATACTGCTAAAAGCGGCGTTAAATCACTCACCAGGAATCTGGAAGGGGAGTTTTAAAAGTATTTCCTGTCTCCAGAATACTGGTCTATTATAAATATGGTGTATGGGAAACACAATGAGAAAAGTCACATTTTTGAATGAATTGAAAAATACGCAAAATAGCATTCCAAGCTCACCTGTGGATTTGAGAGGCCAAACAGTCTCTCCTTGAGGCAGGGATCATTATGGTTCCACAGCGCAATGGCTGCACACATGAGGCAGTTCTGGTCACTCACTCCAAACAGTCCATCCTCTCCAGACATGTAGGCAGTTCTCACTGCGGCATCGTAGGACAGGCTTGACCAGCTACACGGCAAACAAGATGATGAGATGTGCCAGATGAACACATAGATGTTTTTGCATTTCAGACTTTGTTTGAAAAATATGTTGACACAGTTTTCAATTACAATTTTGAAAAACTGAACAAATGAACATTCCGTAATGTGTTATATATGGTAGAGATTGTATGGCAGTGCTTCCCACATGCAGTGTAATGCCTCCTCCATTCAAATGTTTATCCCACTGATAGATGATAATTTTGACAGAATCAGTTGTACAGGCCCTAACTGTCGTTCGGAATACCCCGTGTTAACATTTTCGAGGTTGCATGAAGAGGAAACACATTCAGACTGTCACCTTCATGATCTGGTACGCGACGCTTTGACTGGTCGGATGAAAGGTCATTCTGACCTGACCCGTAATGGGATGTCCTGAGATCTTTGTTTAGCGATAACAAGAACTAAAATCTGATTTTAATGAGATTGAACATGTCTTGGGTTTTACATCAATTAGAGGTGAGGTGAAATGAGATCCAAGATTACTGCGCTTATATAGCGTTGTGCATGCATGTGTATGTGTATGTGTGCGTGTGTCTCTGCATGTACTAGTCCGGACTAATACCATTATGCTGTGGTCCACTGAGATACCATGCCACAGCTTAACATGAATACCCCAGTCAGACACAGTATACTGACACTGAGCTGACCAGTCCTTGTTTTAGTCCCTTAATGCCGAGCGCCAGGCAGGGTAACAACAGGGAATCAAACCCTGGACCTTCAGCTCTCAGGGTAGACGCTCTACTACGAGACCACGGACGCCGTTCACAGGTCAGGTTCTGACAGACCTAGAAACATCGGGTGAACAGGAACTCAAACCCACGATCATACGTTTCTGGTGAGCCAAAGGGACACAACTCTGCCACCCGTTCCGAATCTACCCCACGACCCATGGAAGTAGTAGGAAGTTGAGAACAAATTTGTAAACACGTCATGTGTAAATGGGGTGCACGGGTGGCCCAGTCGTCTAAGGCGCCGCGATTTGCTGTGCAGAGTTGCGTCCCTTGGGCATGCCAGAAACCTATGATTGTGGGTTCGAATCCCGGTTCGCCCCGATTATGTTTCTAGGTTTGTCAGCACCATACCCTTGCTCGTGGGTTTCACCGAAGTGGTAAACGTCTGAGACCTGCATCACTTTGGGCTTTCCTCCTACATTATGCTGACACGCCGCGATATAACTGTAATATTGTTAAAAGCGGCGTTAAACCCAACTCACTCACTCACCCATGTGTAAATGTATTAAGTGTACTGAATGACACCCAGACGTTCCTCCCTCTACTTCAGTACAAACCAGTTTCTATCTGTAGACAGGTCCTCCCTGACAGTCCCCCACTGTCTCTCCGCCAGGTACGGCCCCCACTGCACCCTGGCTGCGGAGGTTGTGGGTGGCCGGGTTGACCAGTCTGTGGACACACAATAAACAATGCAATCAGATGTGCATGAGGGTTCACACCAGGCTATGTTTTAAATTGTGCATAATTATTAGATGGCTTAGACGTATTTGTTTTAACTTACTTTACATCCTTTTATAGCGCTTTACAGTCGAACACTGCTTTACGGATTGATTGATTGGTTGGTCGGTTGATTGAATGAATGTTGTTTTCTGCTGCAGACAACAATAGTGCAATATTGCTTTAAAGACAAGGGCACCAAGTGGTTGACAGCACGAGCAGTGATCCATGCTCCGAGGATGGATATGGTGACTGACAATCTGCCAGGCCACGTACTGACAGCTCTGTTTATGTTGGCACATACTGGGGACCCATGCAGTCTGCTCTGGAATGTCCCATGGTGAATAGTTTGATGGGTGTTTGTGTGAACCAGCTTTGATCAAGTTAGGGTACGTGAGCGAAAGGAGTTATATGTTGTAGTCTGTAAATGAGCAGCGAGGTCAATCAGAGCACAGACGATTACAACTTGTTGGTAAACAAAACAACAACAAAAACTTGGGTGAGGTTAGGATTCTGCAGAATAAATGAAAAGCTATTGTCTGTGCTATTGCAAACTTTTATATCATATGCATCAAGTTTATCTCCCTTACCCCTTTGACTCGGTTTAATTCCAACATCTGGCTTCTTTCCTTGCAGCTCCTGTCCCTCCTCCACTACTGGCGACCTGCCTCTCTTCATGGTTGTCGTCCGATTGACAACATCAGTCAAATTCTGAGTACTTTATCACTTACTTGTTTTGCAGACGAAGGTCACTTATTGAGAGTGATCTCCCTTTACCTATAAATGAAGTCTATGAAGCATACGTACAATATCAATAAGCGCACGGCATTGCTGCTACTTCACACTGATTCCTGGAAAAAAAATGTTCTTTTGGGCGTTTGTTCACGTGAACTGACTAGCGACCAGTTGTCGCCGATGACCAATTATCACAAACTCCCGTTATAGCACGCCCGTGATCGTATCTTGTTTTTCTCGTTTTCATTAACCAAAAGAGAGGAATATTTATCCGAAGATTGCTCAAACACAACTTTAGAAAAGACAAGCGGGCGGTGTCACGTAACTAATTCAACCGAAAATAAAATCAAACAGCACGATGATGCACGTTCAGTTCTGTCATTGCTTACTATATCTGTCTGTTATTTTTCCGCGAAATACAATTCTAAAACCTAATTTTCCCCGGCCACAAAGACAAACAACATCCTCACCCAAACTAATACTTACACCACCTACACCACAAGTACTGCGTGTAGGTTTCCGATAAACTATTAAATAGAAACGGCGTGACTGTGACATTAAATGACTGCCTTCCGTGCTTTATGATTCGTAGAATAAAATATGTATTGATTAGAATTTTCAACTAGACCAACTAGGCCAGCTTTACGGAAATGTTACTAGCCAAATTTGAAAGACACGGGTAATTGGCTAGCGGACAGGCAGATATTTCGAACACTGGCCACGTACCCACACTCAAACACAAACCATGACCCCAGCCACACATCCAGACCCGCAAACAATTAAACACCTACAATAAAAACATATATCAAAACATATTCTCCATAAAGAGAAATAAGTCATATCTATCTCGTCCCTACATTGGTTAATGTTTAATATATATATTCATTTTCTGAAGAAAAAAACCATACTAAAATAATGAATATGTTTCTTTCCATATACGCACATCAATACCATATGTTCCCATGCCCTTGTGCAAATACTAGATCAATATTTCGGCCAGCTGGTCTGCATTGCTGGTTTCTCAATCATTTAGTCATCTAAGATAAAACACTCATGTTCACGTTTACGTGTAATTCGGGGTGGTTGGGTAGCCTAGTGGTTATAGCGTTCGCTCGTTAAGCCGAAGACCCGGGTTCGATTCCCCACATGTCCCCCTCCGTGATAGTTCTGAATATAAGTGTGGTACAACCATACGCACTATATATGTACTTCCTGTATCAAGGCTGTTATTGGGGGCACAGGTGGCCCAGTCGTCTAAGGCGCCGCGATTCCTATGATTGTGGGTTCGAATCCCGGTTCGCCCCGATTATATTTCTAGGTTTGTCAGCACCATACCCGTGCTCGTGGGTTTCACCGAAGTGGTAAACATCAGAGACCTGCATCACTTCGGGCTTTCCTCCCACATTAAGCTGACACGCCGCGATATAACTGTAATACTGTTAAAAAGCGGCGTCAAACCCAATTCACTCACACAGCTGTTATTAAAATGAATTCTAAATGCTCTTCATGTCACTGTGACTGAAAATGACTCCCTTTGATGTCTTTTGTTAATTCCTTTTCAAATATTTCCTGTACGATATAAAGCAACACCGCAATTGCCATTGTCGACGTGAACAGCAGATATGTTTACAGCTTGCAATGTTCTCCATATTCCAAACTCATAGCCATCACACAAGCGTTGGTTTCTTTTGAAGTATATCCATGGCGCCATCATTATAAAAAAAACTTCTTCAATTGCGAAGTGACATTTAGTATGATCATGTAGCTGCGACGATGAAAGACTGAGCTGACACTGAACACACGTTATTTATTGGCGAGCTGGATTTAAACAAAGTTTTTGCTGGTGTATCTACTAGTATTGTAGCAATTACCAGGGCCTTAATTGAAGATTTACATATTTACATAAGGTAATTCCATGAACAGGTAATTACTGAACACCATAACTGGAGCACATTGGGAACATGCGTTACTGAGCGAGTATACATCTACCACTACACTAAGTGAGTGAGTGAGTCTGGTTTAACGCCGCTTTTGACAGTATTCCAGTCATATCACGGCGTGTCAGCTTAATGTGGGAGGAAAGCCCGAAGTGATGCAGGTCTTAGACGTTTACCACTTCGGTGAAACCCACGAGCACGGGTATGGTGCTGACAAACCTAGAAACATAATCGGGGCGAACCGGGATTCGAACCCACAATCATAGGTTTCTGGCGTGCCTAAGGGACGCAACTCTGCACAGCGAATCGCGGCGCCTTAGACGACTGGGCCCCCGTGCCCCCCCCCCCCCCCCCCCCCCCCGCCCCCCCAACTACACTAAGAACATATACTACCTAGAGAAAGGGTACATTCCATACTTTAGATGCATATTTAAATATTGGGATAAATATGTTGCTAAATTCGGCTTGTAGTTAACTTAACGCTGACAAATTGAAAAGATTTATCTCTGACAGATTTGACTTCCTGCGGATACCAAACCGAAAATGCACTTCATTACTTCTTTACGTGTGCTAACTTTGAGATTGTTGAAACTATTCATGGTTTTAAATTGGAAACTATTTATAATGGTAATGCTTTTTTTCCACAAGCATAATAAATCAAAAATAGAGTCATGGTACGATTCCGAATACGAGCACTTGTATATCATGAGCATGTTTTTCTGAATCACTGTCAAATAATGATGATACCAAGTGATCGCGACAAGGTGAAAAGGCGTATCCTGCCCCGTCACAAACACATGCAAAGGCAAGTTCAACTGTTCACCTTAAAAAGACTCGGGAACATATAAATCAAATAGGGAATTGTATTGTACATAATTTATCACTGATGTGCCTAATTTTTAAAGTATCCTTCACATGTCTCCGTAATATTGTTTGCAAGCTTCACTGAAGCCTTGGTAACCTTGAGCAAAAGTCGTATTACGATCTTCGTATTATGCTCAAAAGTTGTGAAATGTAGATACCAAATATAAGCGACAAAACTATTTCCATACTTTAGTCATAAGAACTCTCTGCTAAAAGCCGAGTCGATTGTACGACTCCGACTGCTAGTACATCATGAGCATGTGTTTGTGAATCATTGTCAAGTAGTGACGGTACCAGGTGTTGGAGCTGGAGCTGGATCTGAAGCTGCAGCTGGATCTGGATCTGGAGCTGGAGCTGGAGCTGGAGCTGGAGCTGAAGCTGGAGCTGCTGGAATATTGCTTGACATGAAAGGAAAGTATAGACTATCGGAACGTTGAAGTCAACCCTCTTATCACACAGTCTTGTGGAGAATACTTTGAATCAAAATATTTATGTAGAGATCTAAATATGGAACAGACAAGTCGGTCTCACTGGTCTCATATATTTCTAGTTTAGGAGGGTAAATTGAGTAAATAAATGAAAGTGGGAATACTAAAATAAGTTTCGAAATAATTTAATGACATTTTAAAAAGTTGTCTGCAAATTCTAAAACTATCTCTTATGACTATTGTGTCTTACTACTTTTATTACAGATATCAAAGTAGATTTTGTAGCAATAATATGTCTGCTGATATTTCTCCATATGTTATTTTGCCAGTTTGCGTTCTGTAAACGGGTTTGTATTTTATTGCTGGATGGGTGTTGATATGAGCATGTTCTTCTTGTTTACCAATCCAGGTTTTCTGAAAGGAAATGTCATGTCAGGTGTCACTCAGCAGCATAAAGAGCCTATGTTGGCTCCAAGATACGACGTGTTAAATATTTGACGAAAAACCTCTACAAATCAATATGAAACTAATCAACTGTATTTACATGAATGTGAAATATACTTATTTCTGTTTCATATTTTCATATCTGTTGCATGTTTGAGACTTCTAATAATGTAAAATAAAAAGGGCAAAACCTTTTCAACAATCTAAGAAATCTCTCCCAAAAAAGAATCAATGTTGGAGCTCATGTTGGCATGTGGAAAATTCTTCTGAAAACCTTCTTAAAATTACTTCTTTGAGTGGCATTTAGAAGTTGGTGTGATGAAGAAAGACAAGTTCTATGGATGAACAACTTCTTTATTACAATGATTGCGACGTTTCGGTGTAGATCCTAACACCTTTATCAAGCAAGTGACCTTTTGCTTGATAAAGGTGTTAGGATCTACACCGAAACGTCGCACTACTTGTAATAAAGAAGTTGTTCATCCATAGAACTTGTCTTTCTTCTTAAAATATTTGATCCCAATTTAAACTAAAGCTCAATTTTCTTTCTCAATTAATAAAAACGACAAAAGCCATGGCCATAATCTCAAGAAATCTCCACTAAAAGCAGAGTCCATTGAACGATCCTTGTGCGACTCCATCACGAGAAGGTGTTTATGAATCACCGTCAATTGGGGATGGTTCCAGGTATACACGAATAAGAGAGCGTATCCTGCCCCTTCCGATGGCAACCGTCACAAACACATGCATAGGCAAGACAATAGTTTAACTGAAAAAGAACACGTTAACAAACAAGTCCAAATAGAGAATTGGACATCAGACACCATTATGGTCAACGATGCGTCAAATTTGGAAATGTCCTGCACATGTCTACCATAAAACGTTTTTTGAAAGCTTTACTAAGGTTTTGAATGTCCTAACCCAGATGAAATGACGTCGGAGGGTAAGTGCTGAGGTGAGGCTGAGTGTGTCAATAAGGAGGATTTAAGTGCTTTTCAGAAAGCGTTTTTCCAACAGTTAAACGCGAGCAGTTGTTTTTGCCTAGGACGAATTACCTTTTTATATGTGGAGTGAGTGAGTGAGTGAGTGAGTAGGTATGGTTTTACGCCGCTTTTTAGCAATATTCCAGCAATATCACGCCGGGGGACACCAGAGATGGGCTTCACACAGTGTACCCATGTCGGGAATCGAACCCGTGTCTTCGACCACTAGGCTACCCGACCGCCCCTTATATCTGGAAATGTAGATACATACAGTTGAAGAGTAAAACATCACCTAAGCCAAGGACTTGCTTATACTCAGCATTTCTTATGAGGTTAAAACAATTGACATTTTCCCACTTAATTCCGCCATGCTGATTTATTTAATTTATGTCAGAAGTCCGAAACTTGCACGTGAAAGAAAAAAGTACAAATTGTTAATAGCCATTTGAAGCTACTTTA